CAATAAAATCTTCATTGCCACCATTTGTCTACACCTCCCAAAATTAGCCTGACTCCTTAAAATATCGTGACTAATCCATTACAAAACAGCACAGAGAGTCCTTTGGTTTACAGTGCAGTTTTTGTGTGGAAGTTAATAATTAGTTAATACCTAACTCTGCACATATTTTAAATAAAGATATTTAGCTGATCTGTGATTGTAAAATGTTTAAAATCTTACCATTACCTTGTTTTTTATCTATTTTCTCCACGATACGCTGAAAAAAGAACGGATATAATTTATTTGTTGCGAAAATGAAATAGTAGATTTGTACCTTCACGTTGCTTGCGATTTTTATTTTCCCGTATACGTACGTACGTACAGAGTATTATACGTAGGGAAAGTTATGCAATGTTCCGAAAAATCGATTTCGAGATTTCAACGGGAATACACGTTTTGGGGTCCCCTGATACCGCAAAAGTGTTGTTTTTTAAACGTTCATCTGTCCGTCTGTCCATCCGTCTGTGAACGCCACTAGCGCCTAAACCATACGTATATGATTTTTTTCCAAATTGAAGAAACCCCTGTCCATCTGGCTCGAGTCGAAGCTTTGATATTTTGAAAAAAAAATCTTTAAAATTTTTAAGTACTCTACACGAAGCCGTCCGGAAAATGTTCAATATTTCTCGAAAAAGGCTCCAAATTATTTTTGTAAATTTATTGTACGAATAGAGTAAAATAATTTATAAAGGTAGCATAGGTCAGATTTTCAGGTTTAACTCTGAATTTTCGAAAATTTCACATGGTTTCGGCCGTCTTCCTGCAACTACAAAATTAAAGATAGAGATTTTTTCCTTCAAGTAAAATTTGTTCTCCGTAGTATTCCGTATTTTCAGAAACACCATGCTCTCAAAAATAGCTCAAATTTTGTTTTCAAACTTTTCGAACGGATAATACCAATCACCAACGTGTTTTTTCAAAAATTACACAAATGTAATTTTTTGAAAGATCTTTCACGCTGTTAATATGCACATTTCCAGCAATTTGTAAACACTATTGTGTTTGTGAGTTAAAGTGCTTCACATGACCTCAAATGAAGTTTTTCGAAAACTTAAAAATTATCTGCAAAAATGAGCTTTAAATTTCGAATTTACAGTAGCACGTCAGTGCCATTTTCTTAAGAACTGCTGCAAATATTTCAACGAAAATTCAATTTAGGACGAGGTTTTACTGTTCTTTAACATTCATAAAATAATATTTCCGTTCTCTTATTAGGAAACCGAAAAGTTTAAAAAATTTCAAAAATTGTACTTTAGGCGGCGATAGATGGCAGCAGTATGTGGCAAGTTCGTATAGCCGAGACCAAGGTAATAGAAAACGAATACAAGAAAGGTTGTGCCAGTCCGTATACCACTAATTTCGTGTGTTTTGTGATAATTGTGCAAAATAAAGCAGTTATTTTTAAATAATTCAATGTTGTTCATGCTGTGATTTTGCTTCATTAGTCTTTTAAATTTAATCTAAAATATTAAGATCTCTTCAACAACTTTTGAACCTCAGCTTCTTGGTCAATAACCCCTATCAGTTTTTTGTCAGTTTTCCTTGATTCTTTGGTAAAGGCTGATATGACCCGTTGTTTCGCTTGTAGACATAAAGTAGGTTCCCTATCTGCGCACATTTTCTTGAGCTCTGTGGTTTAGATATTCAAATAACCGTTCTCCATTTTCACGCTGCAGTAAGTCGATTCCTTCACTTAGAGTATGATAAGGGATAATAGCCAAAATCTGTAGCTGATTAGCCTTCGCCAATAGTTTTTATTGCACCGGAGAGAATACCAATTCTTGTGTAAAACGCTCGTTTCTACCTGTATTCATAATTCAAATTAATATGTAAATGAGTTAGAACAGCGATTCCAGAGCGATTCCAAAACGTCCCAGTTTGTACTTCTCCCCATAGTTAGCTCCACAGTTTTGAACTGTATTTTCAATTAAATAAATCAATCTAACTCTACGAGCAAATTACGTTTATTTTTTAAACATATATATTTACTATCAGATCAGTGATGCAGATTTTGCAGAGTTTCGTTGTACTTATAATAATGGGATAATGCTTAGGCAGGTGCAGAGTTCATTTTATACGAAGTTCCCTCTAACTTCTAGGGAACTTGACTTGATTACTATTTTTAAAGTTGGGATTTGAATTTTTATGACAAAGTGCTTGTAATGAGTTGAATGATTTGCATTGAGCTCTTTCATTTTAATTTGTATGCTCTGCATTTAAAATTGGCTTAATTGTTGTTTTGGGTACCTTGAATTAACTTTTGTGTTTTTGCTGAACGACTTAATGTGATATTTTTGATACAATTTTGTATTTTAAAGCCTTAATAAATACTTTCTACTATAGCTTTACAATTATGATTATTTAAGGTTTCCATTTCTAGTTCATTTCTAATTTATTTCAAACGTATCAAAAGGCTCCTAAGACACGCCGTCAAAATCTTTTTGCACAATTTGTATTTTATCAATATTTCTAGCTGCGCCGTCTCGGTCTTGGCTAGCATATTTAAGTGGTGATATAATTATTGATTTAAATATTGCAATTCCATATTCTATGTAACATTTCTTCAAAACAGCCCTGTTGTGGAAGCGTGGGCGCACGCCCGGCGTGGCGGCGTAAGGCGGCGCTGGTCTCGAAAAGTGCGACTGAGCCACTATCACCACCGGGATTCGAAAGTTGTTGGGGCGCGATATTTGAGGTTGTGGGGGGTTTTCAACCCAATGGCAAGTGTTTCGAAATGACCGATAAACCCGCACGTCGTGCACCGACGAGTGAATGTATACCACAAGAGATATTTTTTAAACTATTTCACGATGAAAATTAATAATAATCAATCTAAAATGTTTATTGATATTAATATTATTTATCTAATTCGATTTCGTTGCTCTACGTCTATGAATATAACGTGTCATAGCTCGTGCACACAATAAAGTATAATTGTTGAATTCTTGCAATATACATACAGATAAGTTGTCTCTAATTTGATTGATTTATTGATACCCGGAAAATTCTTTAGTATTAGCGGATCATATTTGACGAGTGGAGTGTGCAACATAATAATTCAAATTATTCGCAAGCAAAAGGAATTCCTTATTAATACTCGTAAAGTATTCCCTGATATTAGTGAATCAGGACCGTGCTATTGCTAGAAACATGTATGGTATTGTTAGAAACAACACATTACCCGTTCTAACATTTATACATAAATATTACTCTGATGATGAAGAAATTCCGTGCCCGTAATGTAGCAATCAATGGAAACATTGGCCTGATTAACTCTCAAATGGTAGGTTACACGGTAATTACACGGTAAGAGTATGACCAATTAATTATCTGTTTGAGCTGTTATTTGTTTAATTCGTACTATTGAATCCTTAATATCCTAATTGCACTGATAGAGTAAATAAACTATTAGTAGCAGGAAAATTGAAATCCATTACAATTGGAATAACAAAGGCACCTTGTTTCATTTCACATCATTAATCTTGTAGGTAATTTCAATCAATTCGTATGAACAATTGATCTATCTTTCAAATTCCTCTTTCCTTTCCATCTGTAGATCTTGCACCGAAAGTCCTTTCGGTCTTGTTCATTCTACTGACGATGAAATTTATCTTCTTTCTGAGCTCCCCTCCGACACAATAGGGGGACAAATGATCGGGGGTGCTCATTGGACTT